GCCCAGATCTGCGTCAGGATAAAAAACACTCTGGCCTCTTCATCGTGTCTCACTTTCACAAAAACGTGATCACCTACTTCATATTCTCTGTCCCGTCTTCTGACATCAGCATAACTTTTCTATCTGCTTCTGGCAGTTTTTAGTCTCTGTTGTATTAGTTTCACTTTCTCAATCTTTCGGTATACCAATCTCGGGCCCAAGCAAAGCCCATCTCCAACTTCTGCCCAGCAAATCGGAGATCTACATTTTTTGCCATTACAATGCCTCGAAAAGGTGCCATACCAATACTTGAATGATAGTTGTTGTTGTAGGCGAAATTAAGCTAAGGGCAAATGACTTTTCCCAGTTTCCCTGAAAATCAAGGACACACATTCCCAGTAAATCCTCCAAGAGTTTGTGATGGTCCTTTCACTGGCCACGGTCTGAGGATGATAAGCACTACTCAGTCTCAATTCAGTACCCAATGCAGTCTGTAAGCTTTCCAAATTCTCGATGTAAACTTTGAATCCCTGTCAGAAAAACAAGACACAGGCACTCCATGCAGTCTAACAATTTCATCAATATAAGAGTATAGCCAATTTGTCCGCATTATAAATTGTCTTAACACGTAGAATTCTCCTCCTTTATATATATATGTAGGTGTTCAGGCCCCAGACCGGAGCTAGGAGCGTGGGTTAGACTCCCCTTTTTGTCAAGCCAACTACTGTGCCTCACTGCGAGGTTCCGAGCCTGTCAAGCTAAGGCTGTGGGGTGTTTTAGTTTCCCTCCCTCTGTTCTGTCTTGTAAACTGTAAACTGTTACCGTACTGTTTAATAGGGATTAGGTCTCTGAACTGAATGATTGTATATATGTACATGCTGTTTTGTACTGTTCATGTATATGTGTATGAAAAGTCTTTTTGGCATACAGATTGTCACAGCTTATTGGACATTATTTATTTATTGTTTTGGCTTTCGCCATGCCCCTGTACTCTGTTTTACTGTATTACTGTTAAGCAGGCCTTCGGTAATCTTGGATTACTGGCCGGTTACGGTGCTAAACCCATAGGGACGGGTTTGGGTCGTGACATTTATCCACTAGTTCTTCCAGATATCCGACTTCTTCTTTGGCCGAATGTTTTTCCCCCATTTGCTCCGTCAGGTCTTGTTGATCAACAACAAGCTCTGTCTCGGCCACATCAGTTTGAATCACCTCCTCAACGGGGGCAGGTGGAGTTTTTTCCCTATCATTGGATGGAGGGGGCAGAGGTTCACTTTTCTCGGCCTCGGCTCTTCTACAGGCAGCCATCCTCTCGGCATTTTTTTACCTGGCCATTTGAGTGAGCGACTCACCAACCATGCCGTCAGTATATGAGCCGGGTAGGTCCCCCAAGCCCGTGAAAATGTCTTCGAAGGACATGTTCGCTCGGCCAAAAGTGGATGGAGGATTAAAGTCGGCTTCTTCAAATGCCAAATTTAATGCTGCATCAACCTCTTCCTCTGATCCGTTAGATCTGTCCTGGGGTGGTTGGTTCGGCTGCTTAACGACCCCTTCGGCTATTTGTTCGTCCTCTGGCTCTGAGTCCGATGCCTCAAAACCAACCTGCCTAAGGTTCTTGAAGGTTGGAAAAACAAATGCCGTAAGGTACTGTTCATCTCTCGGAATCGGAATATTATCTGCGGCCGAGAAGGTAGTGTAGATCGGCTCATATCTCAAAAGAATGTGGGCCGCCCTCCCCTGCTTCTGAAGATTCGAACGGCCGAAGAACTTGAGTGCTGCTTTGATCTATGCGAGTACAGCTTGTCGACTGAAATGAGAACTTTTTTCAAGTCGTTTCCTACGCGAATAAAACAGTAAGTACGTAGAAGTTGAACGAAGTAAATATTTAATAAAAATGCGTAGGGGATTAAATGACAACCTGGTTCACCTCTTCGCCTAGGCACTGGATCTTGACGATCTTTGCCCTTGCCAAATTCCCAGTTGCCATGAACAACAACCATGACATCATCAACACGCTTACCAGAGTTGGCAAGCATTGTCACCAGATGATGGTCGATGTCCTTGGCCCTGAGGAGATAGCGCCTCTACCGACCAGTGGATTTGGCCAAGGCATAATAATGCCGAATGGTAGGGATTCCAAGGTCGAGCCTGAGGCACCGGTTTAGTTCCACAACCCCCATTATTATTCTGAAAAAATTCACGTTCGGTTGAGAAGGGATTAAACTCCAATGGCAAAGGACAGCCTTCAAAAGTGGATGAAGGGGAAAACAGATTCCCCTCCTCAGCAATTGAAAGGAGAGGAAAGACGATTGTACTTTCGTCAGTCCTCTCTGTGTCAATCACGCTCTCTGCGAAGAGTGACAGATGAGCGTCGTCAGGAATGGAGAAATGACGACGGAAACTAGAGACTCGCTCCGCCGAAAGAAGGGCTCTCAGATGTTTTGCCATCATAGAAGGTAAAATGGACACTCTAAACAGTAAACAAACAAGGAAAAGGAGTCGAAATGGAAGAAAGATGAACTTACAAAAAATGAGGGCAATAAAGAACGGCAAGAAGTTGCAGAGGGCGTGAAGCGAGGAAGGTGAATTAACATCTTGTGCATTCGAAAAAGCATACAAACGAAGAGACAACACGGTTTTAAATCGTATTAAATGAATGAAGCGTATGAAGAGGCGGGGAATTATAATCATGCCTAAAAAGAGTAGGCGTTCTGACGCTTGCATTGGAAAAAGGAAAACTGCTGTATTTTTTGACCCTCTAAGTCCAAAACCAAACATGCCGTCTAAATTGAAGTTAATAGGATGTTGCAATTGTGGGGACCGAGTGAATTATTACGTAGGATAGCCGAATATATTAAAGAAGGGAACTAGATCGTGTACAATACGGCTCCAACCCCGAGGGACAGAGGCCGAATATCCAGATCGACCTCTATCAGTTGTAGATTGGGCCGAATATGAAAAGATAGCCTAATGAGCGATTGTTCATTGGACGAAAGGTGGGCCTAACCATCAACATCGAGGACTACTATAAATAAGAGGAAAATCAGCCAAAAGAGGTAGATGAGAACAAATAAGTTTAACTTGAGATATAAGCAACTAAGAGAGTATACATTGACTTATCCGTCGGAATGCTAATTCCAGCAACCCCGATCGAAGTGTTTATTCCTTTTTAGGTGACTAGTTGAGGATCACGAGCGTCCTACTGGATCCAAAGAGTATTTCCAAACCACTTCTCTACAATAAATGATTTTGAACATTTTAACAACTATTTTAATTTAAATCTTACGAAGGATATGTATTGCTAATCTTTTAATTTTAATAATAATTATGTAACTAAATAATATGAATTTTATAAATGACCCAGCTAGGTTAGGTTAGAATTCTTAAATAGACTCAAAACCCAAATTTATGGGCCAAAAAATTTATCCTAATTTCTAAATATATCTAGTTGGGCGTAGGCAGGCTATTGAGCCAGCAGCCACCCGTATTGTATAGAAAAATTTTATTTGGACACACCTACTTATTTCAGTACATATATTTGATAGGAGTGTTCAGCGGATATGTTGATCCGTTCAAACCGATTGAACCGAACCGATTCGCTGCATTTTGAAGGGATGCGTGATGACAAGCAGACGGATATGAATTAATTTTCTAATTTTGGACAAATGGCGAATTGCAGATTGAAAGTTCCTACGCCGTAACCAAACCGCAAACACCCCTCATTTGCAGCCATTGTTAACATAGAGATTTGTTAGATTATTATCCATGTTTGTAGTCATTATTAATAAAACATATTGGATTGCTATCCAAAAATAAAAAAATAAAAAATTTATGTCGATCCATGTTTTATTATGCTGAAAATTTATAAAATGTAAATTGTCAAATTGATTCGCATCCATACGCCAATACGTCAATTCACTCAATCTGTATCCGTCAATCCGACGGATTGTTACAAATTGATTTTCTCCAATCCGCCTAATTTTGGACAGATGACGGATTAGAGGTTCCCAAACCACAACCGAACCGTAAGCATTCCTAACACTTAATGAAACTTTATTTTAATGACAATCATACCCTAAAATAAAATAACTATAATGGATATCAAAATACACCTTTAATATTATATTCCAAATTTTTCTATATACATTTTTTTAAAATAAAAAAAATCTCAATACACATATTTTTAGTAAAAAAAATCCTAATTTTTACACCATGTTACACACTTATGTTAAAACAATAGAAACAAAAGCCTTACTTCATAAACAAAACAATATATATATATATATATATAAAGGAAAACAATATTTCGTAATTGCATTGCATACAATGAATCAAATTGGGGTTTGGAAGATAGGGAATTTTGGGGGTAGAGTTAGAACAACGATAGAAATGAAGATAATTTCAATAAGTTTACGGAGAGGCCATGGATGAGAGTGACAGAGAGAGAGGGGGAAGATAAGGGAGTTTTATGAATGGTTGTTTGGGTTTGCAATTTTGCAACAAGTGTGTGGAGTAAGGGTTGAGATGGTGTATATACAATGGCATAAGTGAATGATATAATTGAAATATTTAGTGTATAGATTGAGAAAAATAATTAATAATCAGATTAATAAGTGTATACACTAAGATATGATATGTACTGAAATAAGTAAGTGTGTGAATAAAATTTTTCTATTGTACAACATCAAATGGGTATAATTTTTGTAAATATTAAATGAGAATAATTTTTGTAAATATGAAGTAGTTTATGAAGCAATGACTGCCGGCGACAATCAAAAGTAGTTGATGATTTATGAGATTTGATTTAGTAATCATCGATAACCTCTCTGCTAACCATATACAAACAAAAAATTTATCCAAAAACTTCATATATTATAACATGAGATGTTTAGATTTCATCATTTCAAAATGAAATACGTAGCAAGATGCCACTTCCACACAAAAATTGCTTTTTTGTTTTTTATTTAAAAAAAAAAGCACTGATCGGTAATAAAAATTTAGAAAATGGAGAGAGAAGTTACCTTGACACCCATGCCAAAGGTGTAGCCTGCCAGCAGACCCAAAGGAATACCAAATAAATAGTAGCACCCTATGTTCACATAGGCAACATAAGCTTGCCACCCTGCTCCAATTGCCACCCCTACAAACCATGGAATCCACCAAGAAGAAATTTTTTTGTAAAAGAACCAAAAAAATAATCATTTACGAAGGCTTGTAATCAAGAAGAAGCATACAAAACACAGAAAATGTCACGAACACAGGTTGAGTGTTTGTGACATTTTTTGCATCTGTTTGGATTTCTGTAGACCTATGCGATTACAAAACGAAGGATTGATGTGTACCTGATAGGGTAGGTTGAACATTGTTAATGACAATGCTTAGAGCTAGCAATGGAGTGAGCTCATATACAAGCTGTTGGACTTCTCTACTGTCTGAAAACAAAGCTGGGTACTGATTTTGGAAAACAATCAAAATGAGTGCCATGAAGAGGCCAAAGAAGAATGAAGTTCCGGCGGCCACCACCACAGCGAACTTGGCGGTTCTTGGATTTGCTGCCCCTAGCTCATTTGATACCCTTACACTGTAATTTTATAATTAAAAAAATTAATTCAATTTTGTTAGCAATACAGAAAATTTTCAAAGAATGGAGCAGTGAGTCAAATGAGTGAGACCACATAGGTAAGGCCTACATGTAGGGTCGTCTTTATTTACCCATAGAGGTAAGGCATACATGTAGGGTCGCCTTTTGTTTCACATTTGTGTCTCATTCTGTGAAATTTTTTTGCAAATTTAATCTTTCTCACAATTATTATATATTCCTGTAATGCTATACAGTGTTTGATTCATTGAAATAAGATAGAATGAAATTATCATTTTGTCAGAATATTCATTCTTATATTGGTTTGATAAATAAAATAAAAAAAGAAATTTATATTGGAAATCAAATTACAACTCAATAATTTAAATCAGTGGTCATTCTTGACAAAAATCATTCCAACAAATTAAACACTATCTAAATATTTTTTTTGGGTACATATTATGGTACGTAGTTTTGGTGTATGCCAAAACAACCTTATGGCTGCGTTGAATCCAAAAGCTACCATGACAGTCCAGCCCAATATGTTCATGCTGCAAAACCAACATGAAACAATTAACAATTAGCGAAACTCACCATATTATTTGTTTTAAAATGCTGCAAATCAACATTTTAATTGTTTTAAAAATAATGGTAAATACCTCGAAAAAGGTAGAACTGTGTACTCACCATATGGACAAGGCATCCACAGAAACTTCTGCATTCTTTAAATATCCAGCAAAGAGAATCAATGCCATATAATACCAAAACTCTAAGCTGCACGATTCTAGAAATAAACATTATTAAAATCTAAAATGATTTGACGTTGAAATTAAATTAATATACTTAACTGAGCTTCCTGCCAGAACTAATCTCATGTGCTATCACAAATTCACATCAATTTTTTTACTACATCACATTGGGGTTCGATTACATCTAAGACTTTTTGGATAAACTACAACTTTATAATTAATATTAACTTCTAATAAAGACACAACACAACCACGTGAACTGTCAGAGTTAAAAGTATGTGTGTGATATAAATAAAATTTATTCATATTATAAAATTTTGATAGAAAATGATGTGATGAATTGTTTATATTTCTTTAATAAAAATTAAAAGACTAATGTATTAAAATTATGCAGTATTCTTATTAATTTTTCTTTAATTATATTTTGCAATGTAATTGGTGAATGATGATATAAAAAGATAAGAAAATAGTGTTGCATCTATCATATTTTGGCAATCCACTTTGTCTAAGAATAAAATCACAATTTTATAGAACAATCCCCCTTAACATTATCACATGTTAATCTTATTTGAAATTTTGAAATTCTCACATAATTTAACAATTAGAGTGTTTTGAATGAAGAAATAGCGAAATTTGAAAACCAAATATTCTTCGTCATAATGAAATTTTTGTACTTTTTATTTTTAAAAATTATGTGTTTATATTATTTTTCATGCACCTAGTCAATATTCAGATCAATGAGAAAAAATTCAATATAAGAGTGAAAAATAGTCTCACCAAAGCATTATAGCTGAAGCAAAGGACAACTTAACAAATCCCCACAAATTGTGAAATGCCATCCATGAAAACCCAAACCAAGCTTCACCACAAGCCCCACCAAACACATACAAGAGCTGAACCACCACCATGAACCACCACGATGAATCCAGCACCACCGCCGCCCCCACCAGCCCCCACCCTAGCTCCACCATCAACAGCCAGCTGAAAAAAGTGTGCAAAACAAGCGCAACGCCAGATGTCACCGCCATCACTGTCATCTTGCTCTGCGCTTGCAGAAACTTCGCGAGAGGAAAGACCAATGCATAGGCGAAGAGTTGTGGTATCATCCACACGGATAACTTTCCTGCTGCCTTTGAAATATCAATTGATTGGCCGACGAAGATTAAAATTGGAGCCGCGAAAATGTAGACAAACATTAGTATTAGGGCTGTGGAGATGAGGATGAGCCATGATCTCTGCATATAGATTCCGAGCATGCTTAATTGTCCGGCTCCAAATGCTTGGCCGCATAGCGTCTCTAGTGCACTCCCCATGCCCAACTGTTTGAAATGAGTATCAACTAAAATTGTTAGATCAACAATTATTCTAAAAGTTTACATTATTAGAAAACAATGCTTATAATGTATATCGAGATATCTCTTTCTTTTGCATGCCATTTTGTCACGCACGAAAAAAGGCAAATAGACTATACAGAGTAAGGTGCATTAGACGCGTGTTCCATTTGTTAAAAACTCTTTCAAACTCAGCTCATTAGCTAATCAACTCATTACATAGTTTGGTTGTGTTTTTGTTTCCTATTTTTTTGGATGAAACAAGAAAAAAAAATAAAAAAATAGAGAACTGCTTTTTGAAAGCACCTCACTTTTCAGGAAAAGCTGAAAAATTATTTTTTGAATTTTCAAAAACAGTTTTCTCACAAAAATTAAATCAATATGTAAGATGTTTTGAATTGTTCATTGTTTTTGTAACAAAAAAAAGGAAACGATGAAAACAAAACGGCAACCAACCATATAGTTTGTGAATGCACAACTTTATAAATTTATATGTATTATAAAAAAAAATCAAATGACTCGATCTCTCTGGATTAAAATTTATTTAGATTGAGTCAAAAGATAAGTAAATTTGGGAAAGAAAAAGTAATATTTCATTAAAGATAATAAAACATTACAAAAAGGGGAAGAAAATAAAACATTAATGCTGTGTTGGGTTGAGGGATTTAAGGAGAAATTTGAAAAGAGAAATGGAAAAGATAGGTAAAATGTGAAAAAAATATGCTTACATTTCATATAGTTTCACATACTTTTTTTCTTTCACTTTCTAAATTTCTGCCTAAATCTTCTAACCAAACACAGGGTAAAGAAACTTTTACAGGAAACAACCAGATGTCCATAAGCCAACAAAACAGCTCCATAACCAACAAAAAAAGCAGACCCAAAAATAGTACCTCTAAAAAGAAACTCCAACAAACTAAGATTCCCAAAGCTGAATAAGATCCATTAAATCTATTAACACAATTCAAGCCAAGTTTGATGAACACATTTTAAATTTTGTTACGTTTTCCAGTTAAACTTAAACAAACGATTATTATCTCATAAATTTAAGTTATTAAAAATAGACCAACAATATATATCAAACTATCATCAATCAATCAGATACCTTACCATGATGCCAAAAGCAAATCCAGCGACGACAGAGTTTTCGACAGACACTGCCGCGAGTTCTAAAGTTCCGACATGGCCAGCAAAGACTTGAGTAATGGCACCGAGGGAGTACTGGCAGAGGGAGGTGAAGATTGCCGGACCAGCGAGGTACCATAGCTTCTTCGACTCGATGATGAATTCTCTGAAGAAATCTTTGGTGCTGATAATTGGATTGATGTCATCTTCATCAACTGCGAAAGATGATGAAGAGAGAAGACTTGATTGTGTTAGAAGGTCAGGTTTATGATCATCATTCCTGGGGGAGAGAAGTGGGTGCTTGCTACCCTCCATGTTAGACATGTGAGAGAGAGAGAGAGAGAGAGGGGTAGCATTCGGTCTAAGATTTGTCAGCCATTTAAATGGACAACAAAGCTATAGGTTTTTTTTATTTTATTTACATATTTTTTTTTACAACATGAGAAATATTATATTAATAAGATAACAATAGTACATAAATAAGATCTTAAAGCGTCATTCTAATCAAACAACAAAATAAAAAATAAACAATAAAAAAACAAATCAGCCAAAAAAAAAATAGTTATAATTCAGGAAAAATCACCGATCTACTCAAAGATGTGATTTGAAAAATGTAAAAGGAGTTAATTTGAGCCCACTAAATTAATTAGGCCCAATAGTCCAAGGTTGGTGAGCCCGAATTTATCGCAAGTCCAAGATTGGTGGGCCTGGATTTATCGCCATCAAATGGGCCGAATCGCTGTAAGTCTCAAAAGGGCTCAAATCCATGAACTTAGAGACTTACTCGGGCCCGGACTCGAAAAAGTTCGGATCCACGAACCTAGAGATCCGAAACACTTCGTTTCGAACGGATTCAGACGCAATCTAGAAGCTGCTCCATTAATGAGTCGTAGAATACTTGCGGACTCGGAGCTTTCGGGGATCTACCTACCAGAACCATGGGCGTAATGGAACCCGAATAAAGGACCCGATCTCGAGGACGGTGAGTGGAGATAAATTCACTCTTCGGTTAAACTAGCCTATACCCAAGTCGAGGTGGCACGATCTAGGGGGTCCCTGAGACTCAGCAATATTTGCGGCATGACGTTCTCTTGAGCTACCCTTGACCCTTTTGCGGCAAGGCGTCCTCTAGAACTACCCCTGACCCCTTGAGATGATTTGGGATCATTGGTTAGGTGTGACTAAGAAAAAAGATTCGCCGAGAGGTTGATCTTCTCTTCGGGATTTTTCTTATCCTTGGAGAGGTTACCTCCTCAGACAAAGTGGTTAGAGAGACTATTCCCTACGTGCCTTGCACATGCTCTCCATCCTATATCATGAGGTGCCTATAAATAGCACCTACCCATAGCTTTACAAGATATGAATTTTGAAGAGATAACTCTTGAGAAAGAACTAATTTCCTTTCTTCATTATCAATCTTGAGAGTGAAAGTGAGAGATTCATGGGAGAGTCTTTCCATTATTCTCTCTCTAACTATTTTGCCTTCTTCTTCACCCAATCTCTTATTTCCATCATCTCTTTGCTTTTGTGTTCTTAGTTGTGACTATTGAAGAATCTAAACCTCTCATCATTTTCTAAAGAATTCGAATTTTTCTTTAAAGATTTTCGAAAATTTTTGAATTTTCCAACGATGTTCTTGAACCATCTTTTATACAAAAAGTAAGATCTACTTGAAAGCCCGCTGTTCTTGTCGACGTCATCCCCATCGCTGCTGCCTAACTCTACCGCCACTGCCGCCAGAGAAAGAAATACACCCACAATGATATAGGAGAATGCTTGAGAGAGAAGAGAATTATTGTGAGTATCGAAAATCTAAAAATCTATGTCAAAATCAAAGGAGAAAACTCTCAAAACCTCTATTTTGGATATAAAAAATTTAGATATACACTCTAAAACTGTTAATCTATATTCTAAAAGTGTAAATTTATATTTTAAAAGTATAAAATAAATCACTAAAGTATCACCAGAAATCGCCTAAAGAGGGAGTCTCTCTCTTGACCTCAAAAGTTTTTAGCTGCACAAATGCTACAGAGCTTTAAAAAAAATTATAGAATTTTTAATAATTTTTTGAAATCTCTCGTTTTTTTTTTGAACGGCAAGAGGAGAAACTTTATTGATGAAAACCAAACAAAAAGAGGATACAACAATAAAGAGGAGCTTGGAGCTAATCGAAGCTTCAACCTCCTAGTTGGTGAGAAACCAACAGGAAAAAAAAAAAAAAAAAAAAAAACAGAAAAGCAGAACAAGAGGACCAGCTAGAGCCCTCAAAACAGATATGCAGAATTGCAGCTCAAAACAATGAAGCAGAGTAGTAGAACAGGAGACACCCGACTGACAAAACAGACAAAACAGGAATTCACTCAACTCTATCACCAAAGGAAACCTAATCCTTGAGGACCCAAGTCAAGTTAAGCATGAAGTTTGGACCTATTTTTCAAAGCATTTCACAGATGACTGGTTGATTAGGCCAGTGCTTGTTGGGGACTTTAAAAGTGCAAGGCACAGTGTCTCATTCCATGGGCTTGAGGCGGAATTTACTGAAGTGGAGGTTTGGGCAGCGGTCAAAGATTGCAATGGGAATAAAGCTCCAGGGCCAGATGGCTTCAACCTGATGTTTTTCCAAAAATATTGGAATGTGATTAAGGAGGAAGTGGTTAATTTTATGAAGGATTTTCATGCCCATGGCAGACTAACCTCAGGTATGAATAGTACCTTCATCTTTCTCATTCCGAAGAAAGACAAAGCCATCAATTTGAATGAGTTTAGGCCTATTAGCTTGGTTGGGGCAATTTACAAACTTCTCTCTAAAGTCCTTGCTTCCAGACTTAAAAGAGTCTTGCCCATGATTATAGGAGATACTCAGTCAGCTTTCTTGGGTGAAAGGAATATACCTGATGGCATTCTAATTGCAAATGAGGTGGTGGATAGTTGGTCAAAATCCAAGAAAAAAGGACTGCTGTTTAAGCTAGATTTTGAAAAGGCTTTTGATTCTATTAATTGGAACTTCCTTTTCTCAATGCTAGAAAACTTTGACTTTGGCGCTAAGTGGTCCTCTTGGATAAAAGAATGTGACTCTACTGCAAGACTCTCAGTCCTTGTTAATGGTTCACCTACCATGGAATTTAGTCCTCAAAAAGGCCTTAGGCAAGGTGATCCACTATCACCATTCCTATTTATTTTGGTTGCAGAAGCACTGAATATACTCCTGCAGAGAGCTAGAGAACTGAATTTGTTACAAGGGGCCATCATTGGATCCAATAGAGTTGTGTTCTCTCACCTTCAATTTGCAGATGACTCTTTATTATTCTGCGAAGCTGAAATATCAGAAGTTCTTTGTTTGAAGAGGATTCTTAGATGCTTTGAAATAGCTTCAGGGCTAAAAATCAATTATCATAAAAGTGTGCTTTGTGGGATTGGCCTCTCAGATCCAAATCTTCATGAGTTTGCTCTTTTCCTTAATTATCCCAGACAGCCCAACAGCATCCACAGCCATGTATTCAAAGCTATCTCTCTGCCAAAAGCTTTTCACCAAAATGTCAGACATACTTGATTTTTTTGTTTCCTGAAACAATGCCAAATCAATTTTCCTTTCGAATAAAACTTTCTTAATCTTTCTTCTCTTTTCAGGCCTTCCAGCCCCTCTGATATTCCAACTCAGTATCTTCATAAAATGGTCGTATCACTGATTCCACCCAATGGTGCTGTTTATGCCCCTGGATCTATCCTTCTTCCCACCCTTTCTTGGTCCTTCGCCTCCATAAGGGTTAAATGGTTGATTACCTGTGCTTCCTGCCCCTTATAGTCAATCCCCAGCATTTTCCCCAACTGCAATGTAGCATAAGCTTCTTGATTTCTATCGGCTGATAGGCTCTGAGATTGTGAGCTGTGATTTGAAGTTGTGACAGCCCTGTTGATTACCTCATTTGCCGGCTCTTGACAGTCAATACCCAGCTCCTTCTCCAACTGCGATGTAGCGCAAGCTTCTTGATTTCTGCCAGCTGATAGGTTCTGAGATTGCGAGTTGTGATTTGAATTGGAGGCAGCACGAGATCTTGCCATGGCGCCTTTACTAGTGCCACAACTTTTCTGACCAAACTTAGCAAACCCTGAGAATCTACCAAAGAACACGGGATTCTTATTAACTTTCTTGCTGCCTTTCTGTAAACGGGTATTGATGGGTGCTGAGAATAAGGGGCTGTATGGAAAACTATTGTTAGAACTAGTGGGCTGGACACAGCCATGGGCTGGCCCAGAGGGCTGCAACCCAGAGGGGACAGAGCGTAAGTCAACTTCCAAACAAATGCCAGGATTAATCTTGGATGGCCCACTAAGACTCTTAATGAAACCAGGCGTTAGAATCTGACTATCCACCACTGTAGGTGCTAACGCTGCTGGTTGAGGATCATGATTGTGTTCTATTATAGGGACCTCCATACCTGTGTGATTGATGTGATTGGGCCAAAGCTTCTGCCACAGACTTCCCTCCGGTGATGATGATTCTACCACACAAGTATTATCTTCATTTGAATTTCCCCCCAAAGATTTGGTCTCCTCTACTGCTGAGGCATTACTCCAACTACCCCCATCCTCCAGCCCAACCTTGTTTTTCATCCTGCAAGCCATGGATGCATGTGACATCTCATATTCCCCAGCCACAGCATCTACTCTGGCAGCACCCTCTACCTCCAGATTGGTACCTATAATGGGCTGGTGATTAAATTTGGAGCACCCATCTTCCTCAGCCCCGTTGGTAGTAGTTCCCTGGTAACTGAATAAAGCATTTTCTGAATTATACTCTTCGTAAACTCTTATGGGATACAGTCTCCCTTTGCATTCCAAGTTTAAGCACGTGCTGATGGGGTCCATAACACCAGTGACTAATTTAAGCCTCTCACAACGAAAAGATTTGGGGGAGTAAATGTTGTTGTTCAGAATAACCACCTCCCCCCATAAACTTCCAATTTTTTTGAAAGTATCTGAGTTCCACAGGTTGAGGGGCACACCATAGCATCTGATCCAAACGTATCTCTCCTGTTGGAGATGCATATCAGAGTGCCACTCAGTGATGTACTCGCACCATTCATGAAACCAAACTTCAAGTTGAGATTTTCCCTTCAACAGATCTTCTTTGGAATTAAAGGAGATGATTGCATCTCTACCTCCACCTTCTCTAACCAGCACGGTCGATATACCTCTCTTTTTGAGCTCATTTTTCACCTCCTAAACAGAGTATTCCGTTTTGAGCCTCATGATCAAGCTCTCAAACAACCACCCATTGCCTATCTCTTCTACTTTGATAGTTGGCTTAGGTG